AAGACATAAGCACCGAGTATAATGGAATCAGCACCGAGTATAATGAGTTAATCACCGAATATAATAACATAACTACTCAATATAATGACATAACCACCCGATATAATAAAAAAAAGTATAATAAGACAGTTCTGGCGTTCCATATTATTGTCTCCGTGGGTGACTTCCTGATGAGCAAGGCTTATTTTTAGCGAGTAGCTTTCATAACAAATGACACGCAGTTTTCCTTCTATATATAGCCTCATACGAACTTTGGACCACGTCCTACTTGTGTGTATTACGTCATTAAAAGGACGATTCTAGATAGACTTCTCCCTTTTTTTTATTGGTCTTAAGTGAAAAACCTAAAATGTCCTTGATTGTAAACAGAAAAAATGTCCATTGATTTTTTTCCATAAAAATAAATACATGAAAAAAAAATCCTTGAAGGCTTAATTTTGAGAGTTAAAAATCCGAACGTGTCAACAGTCACGAAATCACTGAGACGGAAAATTATTCAGGTAAACTTTAATTGTACTATCTGAACTTGGCAACAAGGTATGTCGTCAGTGATGACGATTTGATGACTGGTAACAGTAGGGGAATCCCCGAACTCAAAAACGTGATCAACAAAATTGATATAAACATTCCAGTCATACTTCACATCAAGTCAGAAATTTCGATCACGTAGATGCATGGGCTTAAACTTACGTGTTTTGCTGAGTTTGCACTTTAAATTTTCCGCTAAGTTTGCGGTCGTTGTAGACTCTTTTAAACTTTTGCTGTTACATGATTCTGGTATTTTAAGTTGGTTGCTCTATAACGTTTGACTTAACTTTATATTACAACAGTCGTTCATTTATACAGCAACCTGCGTGCTGAAGGCAAATGTAATGTGGGCTGTAAATTGAACAAGACATGAAGGTAAGAAAATTTTTTTACCTTTTTTCCCCCTTGTTGTTCGATCGGTCTTAACTTCGAAATCATCGATTAACACTGTAAAAAATAACCATTTAATGGTAGAATTTGTAAACTTCTCATTGTATAGGCGCTACCCGATATATGAAAGCTAGCTTTAACTCCAAACGTCTCAAATTCTAAGGGCTTAATCTCGTAGAGTTGATCGAGGACTTCAACTAATGCAGAATATCGAAATCAGAAAGTTAATATAAGCATCTTAATCTTAGGCCTTCATCTAGCAGAGTCGATCGAGGACGTCTCTCTTCAAACAGAATATCGAATTAGAAAACGTAAATATAACCCACGCTGCAGTAACCCAAATCTAGTCTTGTTGCTTTACATGGAGTTGCCAAGACCCAAGGGGGAAAATTCGTTGCTCCTTTTCAGACCATGCGATGATACTCTCGAGAATTCTTGCTTTCAAATTTTCAAATAGCCGCGTATGTATGAATGAATAACTTTTAGATAGACAAAAGAATTCTCTGAAGAATGTCACGTTGTCTGTAATGAGAAGCTATAAAATACTGTACTTCTATATGTATTAATGTCTGCATGTATGGCGGCATGTATATGTAACAGGCTTATTGGTCAAATTAACTAGCTAGGAGGACTTACTGAGTTTCACATTAACTACTACAGTTTTTAATCCTGCAAATATTAATTCCTCGCGTTTTCCATTTTAGGAAATTGTTCTGCTTGTGGTTTTACTATCATGGTTGCAATTATCTGCAGAAGGAAAGCCCCGACCAGCACGTTGTTCACAGACATCAGAAATTGAACTCTATGACCCCACTGATCCAGGAGTTAAGACTATGTGCAGAATATGTCCTGAGTGTCCCGAAGGTCAAGGATTGACCCCACAGTGTGGTAGCAGGGTTCGAAACGACACCAAAATAGAATGTATTCAATGCCAGGCAAATGTGTCATACTCCAACAGCCATGGCATAGAAAGTTGCAAGGCTTGCCATGAATGTGGTTTAAAGAATGTGATTCAGCACTGCTCACCGGACAAAAACCGCATTTGTGGAACGGAGTGTCCCCAAGGATATTTTCTTGATGACAATCACATCTGCCAGGAATGCTACTTTTGCTGTGGCAGTGTCAGTGAAGCTCAAAGACGTCAAGGGTGCAAAGACATTGGAATGAGCAGGGACCGGCAATGTGAAAAAACTGAGCAAAATCAGCGCTGTTGGGAGGCCTTGAAAAAAGTGACTACTAAGCCAACACGCCCAAAACCTACTGTTGACACTGCCCCACATGGTCACGATACAATGACTAAAAAACATTTTCAACCCCAAAGTCATGATAATGCTACCAGTATAGCACATCTTCCAACCAAATCATTAACTGGATCAAAAAGTACGCAAGGTGGAAGTACACCTATCACAAGTCACGTGGGGAAAGTGGCAGTGTCACCCACAAATGGCGATTTCAGAAGTGCAACACGAAGAACAAAAAGAGAGAATAGGCAGAAGGAACATGGACCTGTATCTATAGGAACTGTTATGGGCGGGGTAGTTTCGGTTATTGTCATTATTTCGGCATTTGTCCTAGTAACCTCAAAAAAAGGAATTAGGAAGCACTTTTCAAGGACAAATAACTCAGAAACAGCAGGTGAGATATAAAACTCATAAATCAGCCTACATGCATGTATGGTATGTATTTAATTAATTAAGCTATATTTGAGCATCCAACCGACAGTTACAACAGTTGCAACAGTTGCAACCCTCTGAAAGTAACAAATGTAACGAAAGTAACTACTACTTACTTGTGTAATCCTGTCTGTGCTAAGTATCCTTGTCACCAAGGAATGACAATGCTCTCTCTCAGATGACCACTGTTGAATCTGGCGCCAAAAGTCAATCCAGCCTCTGTCATTTCTCTGATTTCTTTTCACTGAAATGACGGAAGATGGATGGACTTTGAGTCAGATTCAATGATTCTACCAAATTCAAGTTAAAGGGTGTTTTTCTAAAACTTTCTAGCCTTGATGGTAGATGTCTGAAGTACAGTGAACTTGATAATACGCAATCACAACTTTTCACATGTATTTGACTTTTCTTGCAGATTCTACTGAACGGATACCACTGTCAACCCGTGAACCTACTGATTCAGGCAGGACATCTCCTATAGGTTTGTTTAGTCAAAGTTGCGTCCTTTTTATTTCACCAAACAAATTGGCACTGAGTCAAAGTCTGGATCACTCAGGATGGTAAATGCATGAAAATATCCACCCCATAACAATTAGGCCCCATTATAAGTGGTGTCAAAATTGTCCATATTAAGCAGGAATCTGTATAAACCATATGTTGATAGTCACCTTATCTGTAAAAGGTCAAGCCTCTTTGGGCATTCATGAGAGAAAGCACCTGCAACTGGCAGTCAGACAATATCTATCCTTAATTAGTAGAATTCTACTAGTATACTAATGCAAATGCTGTAATCTGATTGGCTGACCCATTGAACACTATCAGCCATTAGTGTGCAGTGGCTGGAGGTCAACTAGGAAACGGCAACCTTTTTTCCATTTTTCCAAGGTTTTGGAGGAAAATTTTGATGCAAATGGATAATTAAATTCCTGAGAAGTCAAAATGAAGAACATTTTCGGTTTCTTGACATTTAAAAAGGTCGCAATTATTGAAGAAAACTGATGTGTGCGCACACAACTTCAATTTTAAATGACAATTCAATCCGAGCGACCTTTCTCAGGTGCAAAGTTTAATAATACATCAAGAAATAATTGGAAACCATTATTTGAAGTAAATTTTAGTAAGAATTCTACTAAAACAATTAGATTAT